TCCCCTTCAGTGGGTCTATCTAAAAGACTCCCAAATTGCATAGCTTTTAACTGTAGGGAGAAAAGAAAGTCCTTTACTGGTGCCTAGGAGATATGAAGGAGAAGTAAAGGCAAGAGTAGTTATCATTACAAGTTCTAGAAAGGGAACTAGAAAAAAGTCAAAACAGGGCAAATTTCAAATGTTCATATCAGAGCCCTTTGGAATTTATTGATGGGAGCTTTCAAAAGCATCTCTCCATTGGGTTCCTCCTCATTTTTCTTTTCTCTGCCAAAGTTGGACTCAAGAGTGATGGACTCAGAATTTGTTTTCAGGCACTTTGATAGCTCTTGGAGTGGCTAGAATCAGTGTGAGCTCCTTCACAAAGGCTTCTACATAGGGGGAGAAAACAAATTTTGCCATCATTTTAAAACAATAGTTGGTTGTCTTCTTTAGCTACAGGTAGGCACTACAGTATTGAGCATAGAAGCCAGAGCAGTCTGCATCTCGATTCCCTATTGGCAATTTGGGTAATCTCTTCAAAGGATGGTGTGATAAGAATAGGAGGTAGAAATTGGCTAGGAAGTTAGGGTAAAAAGACCCCCAAAGAAAAATAGCCAATTTCTTTCTTGGCTAAAAGTCAAAATGTCCTCAGGCCCATTAGCAGCATACTCTGTTCCAAGTGCCAAAAATGTCAAAAGTATTTGGGAGTTCTTATCTCATCCCTGAAATACTTTAGGGTTACCTCTTCAGAGGGGTAGTGTTAGAGTAGCAAATAACCCCCTAAATTTAGCTGGTCAAGCCTATAAAATCTCTAGTCTGTTGAAAGATCCACCTTTCCAGTTTCACTAGTCAATCATAGGACCACCCCTAGGCAGGCAGATTCACCTTAAGTTATGCTAAATAGATTGTTGGAATAGCAAGTGCCTTAATGAGAGAGCAAATTTTTCCTGCCTGGAATCCTGCCTCCCAGTACAGAACTCCTCTATCCAGCAACAGACGTGTCTCAATGTCTCAAAAAGTCTTCCCGGTTTTCTGAAGAATTCAGAAAAGCATAATTAATTTCTCATTTTCTTTTACATATCCCTTTTCTAAACATGCTTTCTTTAAGGCTTTGGGCTGGTCCTAGCAGCTTGTATTTCTTTCCTTTTCCTCTAAAGCTTCCTTTTCCCAGCCATGTGGCTGCCAGTCAGCCATGTGTCTGACCTCCATGCAGGCTCTAAACCTATCTGGCTCCATGGATTCCTTTTCTTCTCCTCACCATTCTCCTCCCCAAGACATCTGCCAAGATTAATATCTCACCTGCCCTGAGAATTTTTCTTTAAAATTCTAATAAAATTGTAAGAATATCTCCCAATAAAAAGATGTTTTGAGAAAATAAAAAAAGGAAACTAGGCGCCATGAGTGCTCAGGGGCCC